GTGATTTAAATCACTGATTTTTATCAAAAAATCAAGTTGATTTAAATAAAAAAAATCAACTGATTTAAATCAACCTGATTTAAGTCAACCCAACCCTGAACACAATAGCTACATCTCTCGCCAAAAACTCATCCAAGCAAACTACAACACCACCTTTCAAAACATCAACAACAACGCAGACTTCACATTAGATGAACTAACATCGTGCATCTCGGACCTGGGCAATACAGCTCCGGGACCGGATGACATCCACAACCAGATCATTAGACACAGAAACACCTACACTCCTATTAGACATATACAACGACATGTGGCGGTCGCACTCCTTTCCGGAGTCTTGGCGTCTCGCCACTGTCATTCCAATACCCAAACCAAACAAAGACCACACACACCCATCCAATTACAGACCAATAGCACTAACGAACTGTCTGTACAAACTTATAGAAAAAATTATCCACAGGCGACTCATGTGGTTTCTGGAGACGACGGGCTCGCTGAGCGGTCTCCAGTGCGGATTCAGGAAAACTCGACACCTGTCTGCCTGGAGACCTTCATACGCGAGACATTTGCCGAAGGAGGCCACATGATCGTCATCTTTTTCGACCTAGGAAAAGCCTTTGACACTACCTGGAAGTATGGCATTCTCAAAGACCTGCACACACTCTGCATACGCGGTCACCTCCCTGCCTTCATTGACAATTTCTTGAAGAACCGTTCCTTCCAGGTGCGTGTCGGACCCTCCCTTTCAGATCCCCACCAACAGGAGGAAGGAGTCCCCCAGGAAGCATCCTTTCTCTTCTCATATTTGAAATCAAGATAGATTCCATTGTAAAAACCCTCCAAAACAGCATAGACGGCTCGTTATACGTTGGCGACTTTTTGGTATGCTGCGGTTCAAAAAATCCTCATCTAAGATCTATGGAAAGGCAGCTGCACAAACTCGAAAAGTGGGCAAACCATAACGGTTTCAAGTTTTCCCCGTCAAAGACAGTTGCAGTACACTTCTGTCGAACAGGCAGACGTGTACTGCAGCCAGATTTGACACTATATGTGGAAAGGATTCCCATCCAGGACCGGGCTCGTTTCCTCAGCGTTATTTTCAACAAAAAACTCACATTCATACCACACATCAAAGACCTACGTGTGAGGTTCCAGAAAGTGTTAAACGCTTTGAAAATTCTATCGCATCCGGAGTGGGGCGGGGACTCAAAACACCTTCTCCACTTTTACATCTCCCTTGTCCGATCCAGGCTTGACTATGGCTGTCAGGTCTACGAATCGGCAAAACCACACATCCTAAAAATGCTAGACCCAGTGCAAAACCAAGGACTCCGCCTTGCTCTAGGGCTTTCCGCACTTCTCCGGTGGAGAGCCTCCAGGCCGAGGCAAACATACCATCACTCACACTCAGACGCACACAACTTTCACTACAATATGCAATTAAACAGAGCTCAGCACCACAGAATCCAGCGCTGAACTGCATTTTTAAAACAAACCCAGAAGCCATAAAAACAAATTTTAAAAAACCGAAAGACTCATCAAACCCTTCGGCCTCAGAATCCTTGAAGACCTCAAAAACATACACTTGTCCAAACAAGACATCCAACAATTTCTTTTCCCCGACCTCCCTCCGTGGCACCTCACCAAGGCAAAAGTAGACTTACAGCTGACTGTTCCCGTAGAATTATGCAAATTTAGATGGCCAAATTATGCACAAAAAAAGCAAAATTATGCAAAAATTATGCAAGTTACAGTAACACCATTCACAACATGTTTTGCACTTTTTCAACACGAATTTTCATGATTTTCATGTTTTATGCACAGAAAAATAGAAAACAGAACATATCAGTATCAGTAATTTGTTTTGTATTTGGAAAGAAAACAATACCCATCAGTCAGAAAAAAACAACAACCAAAAATTATAATCTCTAACTTTCAGCTGTAGATCTAGATCTATAGAGGAAAGAAAAATGATGAAAAAAAGAGAAAAAAAGGACATCTGGACCTCTGATGCTGGTACATTACTAAATAAGGGACACCTGTCAAACATGAAACATCAGCAGACATGAGAACAAGTTCAACTTTTAATGGATTGAAAAATTGAACATGCTCAAGGAACAAAATCCCAGCCCATAACCAAGATCTGTTCTTCTAACAAGGGAAATAACCAACTTGTCAATTAAATGAGACTTATTACGATGATTACTTCCCTTTAGTCACATGGCGAGGTGTTAGTTTTTTTGTTTTGTGTAAATATGGAAAAAAACATGAAAAAACGCGGGAAATCCAAAATTATGCAAATGTTGCTGAATTACACGTAAAAACGCGGCCGCGCCGTGGCCGCACAATAGCATAGTCCAACGGGGACAGAGCTGACCACACACAACAAAGCAAGCGCAAACACCAAAACATTTTAAGCAGAATACAAAAATACTTATAGAAAAATACCCGTTCGGAGCTTGTCTTCACAGATGGCTCCAAAAAAGACAATGATGTGGGCACCGCAGCCCTATCTTCAAACAGTACACATCAGAGGAGACTCCATCCTGAAGCCTCCATTTTCTCTGCGGAGGTCACTGCCATTGGCATGGCACTGGACTCCGTAGAAAATTCTCCTAACAAATCTTTCCTTATCCTTTCTGACTCTCTGTCTTGCATTACCTCACTCACAAACTACACACCCCTACACCCAAAATTGGTTAGGCTACAACAGAAAATACCTTAAATGAAACAGGGAAAAATATCGTGTTCGCATGGATACCTAGCCTTGTGGGCATCCGAGGAAACGAGCAGGTAGATGACCTGGGGAAGAAATCCTTATCCCTTCTGTTGGGATCAACGATGAACACTCTCCCACAGACTGACTTTTTAAAAAAAGTAAAAAGTACACCTCCAGTCTGTCAGAGAGCCACTAGAAAAAACAGACAGGTAGCAAATTCCACAATATTAAACCCAAACTGGGACCGCGAAATCCTTTGGGCCTCTTCAGAACAGACGAAGTCATTTTTACTCAATTACGCATTGGACACACAGCCGTAACACACGAATACCTCCTTCAGGGAGATGAGAAGCCGTTCTGTGTCTGATGCGACACAGATTTTACCATTAGACACATTTTAACCGAATGTCTAAAGACCCGAAGGAAATACTTTAAGAGCACAAAATTACAAGATATTTTTATTTTTTCTGTCATTGTTCCCAATAGAATTTGAGATTTTATAAAAGCCATTGGCCTTTATGGAAAGTTATGAAAAAGATTTTTCGAAAATTTTAAAGTGTTATTTAGAAAGTTGTTTTAAATTTAAATCTAAAGCCTATTTACACTTGATTTTTAGCGTTTAAAAATTTTAAAAATCGAAATATTGACCAGTATCAAGCCGAGAAATGAAACGTTGAGCAAAAACCAACTTGTTTCACGCGCTCAAATGACCTTATGCAGTTGCGAGCGCCGTAAAACCCCATACTAAATTAAAACTAAATGCGATAAAAATATTTTCCTTCCACTAGTTGTACCGAATGTGAAATAAGCTCCCCTTAGCTGTCAATCATTGGCTTTAAAAAATTCATTCGTCAGAAGCTTTTGCCACAATTAACATACTGGGTCGAGTCAGTATTAACATATTCTTTGATGCCATCTTGCTATTTCTCAACTACACTACCAAACCTAGTGATAGATTACGCAAACTGCCTTCACAACATCTTTTGGCTAGCTTATCGATAGGCTTCGATCTGAGTCCAAGTTAACAAAGGAAGCACTTTGTTTTGATGTTACCCTCCAGTCTATTGTGACAAAGGCCACAGTCGTGTTGGTCACACTGTCTACGCGACAGATAAACACCTCAACAAGCCGCTGAATCTGCGTGATTCAACCGCCCATGCGCCACCGGGCTGCAAAACTTGCACTTGGGCAGTTGAATCACGTGGAAATTGTGACTAGTGTGATATAGGCGATTGATTTACTGAAGGATTGATACACTTTGCAGTAATCTTTGAAGCTCGGGATTTTAACATCAGGTGTATCAAAGGCTGCACTGCATAAAGGGATCAAAAAAGTGATTTTCGGAAATTTTGTCACTTAGGCGGTTGAATCACGCGGCTAGCCATATGTTAATTGTTAATGTATGCAACTGTGGGTGATATCGGAGTCAATCAAATAGGGTGATAGACTGCTCCTGTCAACTGAAACTTGGTGGCATGGCATGGCATAGTGGATATAATATAGAGGAGCTAGAAGTAGAGAAAGTCAGAGCCGTGTTCATCGAAGGGGCCATGACTGTGTAGCATCTGTTTTGGGTAAATTTGTAAAGTCTCTCCTGTCTCGTACAAGGTGTTATTTTGTAGCTTGGAGGGGGGGGGGGGTTTAGGGCCCTGAGCACGATTTTTGGCATTAAAAAACTTCCCTGAAGAACCCCCCCCTGACTCTTAATAAAAGCATGCATAAACAAGAAAGATAGCCAAACCGGCATGGATAGCAGCCGCGAGACGGGAGTCTTCTATAAAAATACCCTCCCTGTATTGATTAGATCGTGTTGTATGTATATTGTTTTTTTGAAAGAGTTGAAGGGCAATTTAGAATTAGAGGAGGTAAAAATAAACCAGAAGGATTCTTAATCTTTTTTTATTTTTATTGCGAAGGAACCCCCCCCCCCCCCCCCCCCCACACACACACCCATGCTTCCCCACCCCACCATAAACATATCAGATCATGGAATTTGGAATTTTAGAAGTAGGCCTAACTCAGAGGAGTCTCCTTTTGGGTAGGCTAGGTCTAGGTCAAGATCACATGTTTTATTCTCGCATTTGTAAGATTCGGCCTAGGTAATTAGATATAAGGATAGGTTAGGTAGGCGCTATAATATCTAAACTTTACCTTAACCCTACTCTAACCCTTACCTTAGTACCCAAATCCAGCAAAGATGAATAATATTTGCAAATCTAAATGATTGCTCAACTTGTAACCTTTACAGTCCATTATTCCATATTTATGAAATCTTTCTCAGAGAGTTAAAAGAAACAAGATGGGAAAGAAATACAAGCATGGAAAGCACTCATCCTCTTCATCATCAAGTTCATCTTCCAGTGAATCTTCTGATGATGAATGGCGTCATCTTCCAAAACATGACAAGAAAATGAGAAAGAAGTGGAAAAAGCAGCACAAAAAGGTATGATTGTATTGTAGTTATAAGACTCTTGTAAGCCTTGCCCATTTAAGTAGCAGTGCCAATGAAAATTTAATTTTTCGCTTTAACCCTTTTTTAAATTTGGCTACCAATGTGTTTTTGGGTGGAGAAATCTTTTCTGCTGTCAGATTTACTAACCATTCGTACTATTTTGTTAGTTATTATTTTTGTGAAAAAGTGGTGTCAGGATGAGAACATTTTATTTATAGTATTCTATCACAACCTGGGATCTTTAAGAATATGTTGGCAGCGTGACTAAATAATGGCAAAACTTTCTTTGATGACTTTAGACCATGCCTACCATGAAGTATAATTTAATTCAATTCAGCATGCCATACAATTAAAAACCCTTTTTTTCCCCCTTTGAGACGCGAACACCCCGAGGCGAGATAATCTTGCTTCGGAATACCCGATTGTGATGTTACCGGGGAACAAAGAGAAAAACAACCAGATGTGCGCGCAGCCATTGCCCTGTTTCAAGTTTCAAATGAATGGGCTCGGAATAGTCATGCAGGGATTTGTTGGTCACATACATTTGCCGAGAGAGTGAGGGGAAAATGGTCAGTCTCTGTGCGAAGCCGCTTTGGATGGGGGGTAGTGGTTCATTTATGATAGAGTCTAAACAACTACTTGACATAGAACACTCAAATTTGAGGACACTCTAGAGGAAAGATAGACCTCTTACTTTCTTGATGTTGAAAATCAAGCTCCTTATAGTAATAGTTTTCGGTATACCCGAAACGAAAGTGTTTCTGACACCAAAAGTATAGGTTAATTAATGTGTACAAACTTCAACATCCACATGTCATTAGTTTGCCCTATTTTCTGATTGGTTGCCAAGTTTCATTCACATCGATCCAAAAATAGAGCAGACCGAGTTTGAGAATGTTAGTCACGTATGTTCTGACCGGGTCCAAAATTTCACCCGATAGGGGACCAAAATTTCGCCACGCGCGGAAACCCAATTGGCATTGCTAATTTAAGACATGGGTTTGATTCTCTGTTGAGATAAACATTTTGTCAAGAGTGCCCTGCTGAGATGTGGTCCTTGTTTTCTTCTTCTCGATGGCCTCACACTTGAAGTCTGGAATCAGTCTTATATTTGGCTGTCCTGCCCAGTTCTTCTGTCGCTTTGCACAGCTTCTCTTGTAGTGTCAATGGGATTCGCCACATTGCTTTCTCAGAACCCTCTGCAGCTTGCACTGCTGAAGGATGTGTTCCACAGTTTGGTTTGCTTCTCAATGTCTAATGTTATTCTTGTTTACTAGGGTTGGGTCACGAGCGCGAGAACGGAACTGAATCGCCACTCTTTCCTGCGGAACGCGATTCACGATTCACTTCAGGGGAACGCGGAACAGTATTGCCAAACGATTCCTGATTCACTCCCCTGTCGCTGTCACCACCTTGTGGCTTGTTTAACCTACTGCTGAGTTGAGTCACGAGCGCAAGAACGGAACGGAACACTTAGTATGGCTCCCCTTATTTTACAAAAGATGGTATAGTCCAACCCCCCTATTAAAACAAAATGAACGGGGTCCAACCAATAGACAGGGAATTTTATGGAGCCATTGTTTTAGCGAATGGTGGGGTTGGGGGGGGGGGTTATGGGGGTCACTAATTGAGGTCAGTTGATAGAGCAGCGCAACAAAGGGTGTGGGGCAGAGAGGATGGCGGAACAACAAGAGTGGGACTCGCGCTCGCCAAGAGGCGTTGATATGACACTGTTCCGTTTCAGTCAGTGTTCCGCCACAGCTCCACGAGTGCTCGCGTACTCGCGATTCATTGAAGCCGACTGAATTGCGAATCGCCACTCTCAAATTTGACGAGCAGGATCCAGCCCTATTGTTTACCTTGACTGGCTGGGTTGAAACAGCCGCCTTTTTGACTTATTGTCAAAAATTGTTTTGATTCAACAATAAGATTTAACAACTACAGTGGAAACCATATATAACAGGCCCGGTAATAACAGGGATCCGGTAATAACAGGGGTTTTTTAAATCCCCGTTTTTTCCTACTCTCTGTCTCTATTAAAAGTTATCGGCAATAACAGGGCCTCATCGGAGCCCAACCGGATATAGCAGGGACAAAGGCTCGTTAACAATGAGTAAAAAGTAAGAGAGACAGAGAGACAGAGTAACGCAGTGATGGAGCAAGCCCACGCTAGCCATGCCACTGCAAGCACACGCAGCGTGTGAAGCGAGAGAGGGCTGCGGTGTGCTGCAGACTTCGATCTCGCCTGAAACCTAGCAACACGCACGCATAGTGTGTCACCAAAGATGTCAAGCGCTAAAGAAAATGCCTTTCAATTGACAAAAATACGAAATAATCCAGGCTGTTGACAAAAAGCAAGCTCCACAGGCAGAGATTTGTCGTCAGTTCGACATTCCACAAGGGTCGATTCACACCATTATCAAGGATAGAGAGAAGCTGGTGGCAGCATACTCCAATGGACGAAAGAACATGAGACTACCCGACGCAGATGCTGTGGACCAAGCTCTTCTGATGTGGTTTAAGGGGGCAAGGCGAAAGTTGGTGCCAAAACCCCTATTCGTGGGTACTTGTGGCAAGGGAAACTACCCATGAATAAGTACAGCTGGATTAGTCCACAAATGCCTACTTTCCTTTGCTTTTCTGATTTAACAGGGATCGGATACAACAGGACATTTTCTCTACTCCCATCATCCCTGTTATATCAGGTTTCCACTGTAATTTGACAACACAGATTCTTTAGTTAATTATATTAGAGGTGTGAGCAGTAGGGAGAATGGCAATGAAGTGATCCTTGATAATTCAAACTTGTGGTCCAAGATAGCATCAGCATTACAAATTACAGGGCACAGATTGTCATGTTCTATCCAGCGTAAGTGTTCGATTTGAAAATCCTGCCTTTCTTCATTCTCTTTGAAAGCTTCTTGAACTTCTTGTCTTTCAGGACTGGGGGGGGGGGGTTGTATTTTTGGTTCCGTTTCCCAATTTTTTCTTCTTGATTATCTGATTTCTGTGAAGGTAAATGAAGTCAAAAGTATGCCACTTATTATTATTATTATTATTTAAAATTGTGTGGCATCAATAGTCAAGAGATAAGGCTGAAGGACTTGTAACCATTTTCACCCTGGATCAGATCTCAGTCCACATTAAATGTTGTACAGTAGTCTTTGCCAAAACTCACAGTGCTTGGGAGGGCTCCTAAGCATGTGTTTACACAGAGATGTGTTTATGTAAACCTGCGCAATGGGGAAAAGGGATGTAACCATCTCATTTCCAATATATTTTAGTGATCTCCCTTTAGGAGTGGAGGATTTATGTCGCTTTTTCCAATAATGTGACGAAACGTGACGTTTATAAAGGATTCCACAAATCCTTATGACTATAAAAGGCATTGAATGAGGGGTGAAAAATAGTAGAAAGACCGATTCACGTACATTGTTCTAGTGTACGTTAGTGCTGTGCGATTTTGAGGAAACAAAAAATCATCGAAGCTTCGAAGCGTGAGCTCACTATTCATGACTTTCGAATACCTCCGTCAAATGTTTTTTTCTTATATATAATAAGCATAAACCCAGACCTAAGTTCCGCTATTCTACATTCGCGAGCAATTCACAGCACAGCCGAATGGTTTTTTCTTATATCTGATAAGCCCAGACATAACTTCTGCAATTCAAAGCGAGGTCGAATCGTATTTTCATATATATGATAAGCCCAGATCTAAACTCTGCTATTCACAGGGCCGTCGAATGTTTTTTTCTTATATAAGATAAGCCCAGATCTAACTTTCGCAATTCGAAGCGCCGTCGAATCATACTTTCTTATTTGTGATATAAGCCAAGATCTAACTTCTGCTATTCACAGCGCCGTCGAATTTTTTTTTCTCATATAAGATATGCCCAGATCTAACTTCCGCAATTCGAAGTGCTGTCTAATCGTTTTTTTTTTTATATTGTCATAGTCTAGATCTGACTTACACTGTTCGACACCAGTCACTGAGCGAGCGTGTGTTGTTGTCGCGTGCACGCAGACAGTGCAACGTGTTAACATCACATCACCGTTCATAACGCTTCGAATTTCGAGTAGGGTTAGGGGAGCTCATTGTGACAGCTAGATCTAACTTCATGGAAAAAACATTTGCTGCACTTCAAGAGTCAAGTGCCCTTGCTTGAGCTGTCCATAGAGTGACGAGTGAATATTGAATACCGTAGAAAGAGATATTCTCTAAAGGATTGTTTTATAACTCTTGTAGGCTCCTCTTATCACTCTGTCTCGTAACCATCAAATAAAGAGTATTTCTATACATTTATCTTTATGATTTTAGATGTATTGTGCTCCTATTTTTCTACGTTTGAGAAGAATGAAATGAAAATTCATGATCTGTTTTTTAAAAAATCACACGGCATTCAAATGGCTCTGCCACGCTTCGAATACTGCCACACTTCGAATAGCTGTGGTGAATAGTGCAAAAATCATGAATGTCGAATAGTAAAGTCGAATGGGCACAGCTCTAGTGTGCACTAGTCGGGAACAGAAAAGAAGAATCTGTTGGTGGTCGTCATAGGGAAGAGTGCTCAGCCATCTGGCTTTCCAAGTGACCACTCCTGACTGATTGTCATTTGTTGCAACTCAGAAAATGCATCGATGACATCAAATATTCTGAGAGACTTTTCTCTAGTGATTCTATTCACAGTTGAGTGCAGTTGATCTCTAGTGCCTATCTAGTATTCTACAGCATTCAGGCTTGTTGTGCATCATAGGCCTAACTGAACATTACAGTCATACAAACACTAGTAGTGAGAAACCTCTGAAGGATGCATTTCGAATGATTAATCAAAGACATTTCAGTCAACCCCCCGAATTTATAATCGCTCGCCATGCCCTAGACATATGTGTTGGGAGTGAAAACACTCTCCTTCACTCTTTGTTCTGGGTGAGGGGCAGTCTCGCCAAACACCCAGTTGCCTTGACTTGTCTTATGCAAGTTGTGTAGGTTGTAGTGAAAAGGTCCCTCTTAAAATAAAAGTACATATATACACTGAACAATGTTGATAGCTTTATATGCTCACATCGATACAAAAATAGCTTTACATATAAATAAATAAAGCTAATGCACCCTTTAGAAGACTTACAGTAAGGGTTCAGGACTTCTGTGGCATTCACACAGAAACGAAGTTGAATGTCTACAATCCTCCCGACCATGTTGTATGATGCCGAGACCTGGACGGTGTACCAAAGCCATGCCAAGATGCTTAATCGTTTCCATATGAACTGCCTCAGGAGGATTCTTGGCGTCAAATGGCAGGATAAATACCAGACACCTAAGTTCTCCAGAGAAAATGCAGAAAGTCTGTTTTTGAAGCTGAAAAGGACTCTAAACTTCTCTGGGCTGGCCAAGTTGTAAGAATACCTTATTTCAGAATGCCAAAGGCAGTATTCTATTCTGAACATTCCTCAGGGAAGCATCAGGTTGGAGCACCAAAAAAGCACTACAAAGACACCCTGAAAATGTCTCTGAAGGACTTCAATATAAATATTTCAACTTGGGGGAGCCTAGCTCCTGACAGGCCCAGCTGGAGAACAGCAGTCACAGTGAGCAGCAAATCTTATGAGGCTTCACAAATAAGAAATACTGAAACTAAGAGAGAAGCTCGCAAGCTGCACACATCCTCATCCGCAAGTGGAAGTGAAGCTTTCAAATGTTCAAAATGTTGCAAGATTTTCTCAGCCAGAATTGGTCTCATTGGCAACAACCACAAATCATCTAAACTTTAATTCATCTTATTCTTCTATTTTGTTGGAGGAATATTCTCCTCTATGGGTGTATTGGTTGTCATCAGAGATTGACGGACAAAATATTATTATTATTGAAATATGGTGAAAAGGATGTTGAGGGTTTGTGATAAAGAAAATACTAATGACTTGTGTCAAGAATCTCCTGTCAACGTCCCTCTCTCTTGTTCTCAACTTCTTGTTTGTTCAAAGTATTGTTTTTCTTGTTTTTCAGGGGATGATCGCCCATGGAACTGTTCCCGTAAGTGCATTTCTCTCTTATGTGGAAGTTGGTGTATATTCATATGTGTGTACGTGTGTGTGTGTGTGTGTGTGTGTGTGTGTGTGTGTGTGTGTGTGTGTGTGTGTGTGTGTGTGTGACAATGTGGGGATACATGTACTTGGTGCATTTTGTACTGTTTTATTATCTGCCAAACATGGCGTTGCACCGAATTAACGAATTTCACAATATTCTGATATATTAATATGGCCGCACTTTCTTAAAAAATGACTGAGAGTTGAAAGAATACTTTTAAAATCCTAAGGAGACGTAGGCCTTCCTTATGAAATAGATAAATTTGTCATACAGCTACTTTTGAAAGTTAGTTTCTGTTACCTACCAAAAGACAATAGACATATTCTTTACCCGACTGTTAATGAATCCTGATAAAATTTGTGCCTTTACCCATAACCTCATCCATTTCAAGCCTGTTTCTCCCTCTTGCATATGGTTGTGATTAGTACTTTTCGATTAACTTTCTCCTTAACTTCCCCTCAGTCATAAGTTCTTTTTTTTTATACTTTGAAATAAATTGAAAGATGACTCATTCAAGAGGATGTAGTGGATTGTCTCATATATCAAGCAGATAGTATATATGAGCCTGTCATTTAAGAAAAAGCTGAAAGTGGGAGGAATGACATGGGGGCAAACAGTTTTGTTTGTCTTTTCATTGTCCCTGTTTGAAATCTGAAACCTTCATTTTCGTTTCTCTTTTCCACAATAATTCAAGGGGTTGTCACACCATTTGACTATATATATGGCCGTAGAAACAGGTTCTGTAATGTTTTAAAAGGCAGATATGAAGACTTAGACTGTAAATGTAAAAGAAACAAATGTTGAAGTATTATGGGCAAGTTGAAATATTGCTTTCTTTGTAATAACTCTTCTTCATTCCCCTCGACTAAAGTAAAGTTGACATAAAGTACTTGCTTCATGTGTTTTGTTTTGCAAAGTTAGCTTCAAAGACGAGTTGGTAATTTCTTCAGATGTCACTGACAGGTACTTGAAAGGTTGAACTGAGGCTGTTTATAAGGTGATATTAATGCCAACTTCATTGTTAAGAATATCGTTTTATCATGAGGCAGAGAAACGGACATTTCAGAGACCATGGGATCAAAATGTGAAATTATTAAATGTTTATTCTAACCTTCTCATGACCAATATGGTATTATTATATATGCCGTTTATCACTTTTTCTTATATGTTGTAGGAAGGAAATTTTTCTGTGACCTAGGGCATTTGTCATGCCTTGCGAAGCATGAAGATCAGGATGACAAATGCTGTTCATCATAGTTTGTATTTGGCATACTGATTCTGTAAGGTGCACATCGTAAAGCTTATTGCAGATTCACATTCAACGATATTATTTCCATACAAAGAAATCTTTTCCTTTTAGAGATAGTTGGTAGTATTTACAAACCAGGTCTAATTCTAACGCTACTCTTTGACCCTGGGGATGGATCCAAACTGTGCACAGTGAAGTATGAAGTGACCTTGTGTCACAAAGAGGTTAATGTGTGGCGGGTAAGTGTAAATCTTGTGTCTCATTCAGTATTACAAGAGATGAAAACGTTTTTCCTTAGTTGTGCCTCTTCCTGTATCATGTTATTTGCTCCAGACTTTTTTAGCTCAGCTAAAATGAAATAGCAAATTTGTGAATGATTCAAATGACCACTCATTGATGCAATTTGTCTCTCTCCCTAGCCATGGCAAGGCGGGCCCGCCTGGTATCCTCCTGTCAAGGCCGGGAAGCATGGTAAACATGGCAAGCCAGGCAAGCACGGAGCTGGCCACTATCCTCCGGGCGGTGTACCCGGTGGCTACCCGGCCCCAAACGCTGCTTACCCACCAGGGGCCTATCCGGCGGGGGCAGCTGCGCATCCTCCCCATGGGGCCTACCCGGGTCATCAGCCTGGTTACCCCGCTGGGGGCTATCCGGCGGGGGGATACCCTCCTCCAGGCCAGTACCCGCCAGGGGGAGTCCCCCCGGGCCCTTACCCTGCTGGGGGAGTTCCCCCCGGCCAGTATCCAATGGGAGGAGTTCCCCCACCCGCTCAGTACCCGGCTGGCGGTGTGCCGTATGGCCATGGCTCGGCGCCTTCTGGACCCTTCCAGGGTAAGCTGGTGACTCTAGTGCTGGTCTGATGGGAGATGTTGGTGCTGGTGAGAAGAAAAATGTTTGGGGGAGGGGTTAGGGGGTTACAGTGCTTTAGGGAATGCTTGTGATAAAAATGAAAGGGTCAATGAATATATATTCTCTAATTCAAGAGTTTTAGGGATCATGGTTCACTGTGTTTTTGGAAATGTGTGTGTGTGTGTGTGTGTGTGGGGGGGGGGGGGGGTAGGCGACATTATGTAATTGATGGACGCTTAAAAACAAGAGTGTTGGGGTATGGGGTGGAGGTCACAGTGCTCTTGGAAATGTTTATAGACGTAAGAGTGGGTGTTGAGGTGGGGGGAGTGTCAGGGTCAGTGGTCACTGTCCAGTGGATGGATGCTTGATAAGAATTTGGGGTTAGGGGTCACAGTAATGTGGGAGATGTTTGTAGTTTAGTGTTGGGGTCAGGGGTTGTGGGAAATGCTCTTTCAGATGTAAGTATTTGAGAGTCTGTAAGGGGCTCCCGTGGCCTAGAGGTTAAGGTGTTGGCCTCTCATTCAAAGGTCCCGGGCTCGAATCCGGGTAGCGACGGAAAAATTTTCTTCTCTAAAATTGTCTCCTTTCACCTCTTTTCCTGCTCTCTAGCAATGTTCTGTTGTCTGCTTTCATTTCCACTTTCTGCCCCCACCCCCTCACCTCCTTTGCCCCTCCTCTGGGCTCCTGACTCTTTCTGCAGCCTTTCTACTGCTACTCCTTGGCACCTCCTCACTGCTGTCTTTCTGCCACACCCCTGATCTTCTGGTAGGAAAGATCTACACCTAGCCTTCTCGGACAAGGGCGAAAAATCTCGGAGGGCCCGTGTGCAAGTTGTGCACGTTAAAGATCCCTTGGTGGTCTAAAATCGATAAGAGTAGGCTTCGGCCGCCACCCGGGCAAAATTCAAAATTTCCTACCAACTGAAAATATTAGGTGTGTCCCGCACGCTCATATGACCTTATGCAGTTGCGAGCGCCGTAAAACACTTTACAAAAACAAAAAAGAGTCTGTAAAGGTTACATTTTGCTTTATTGAGGCATAAAATTCACTCGCTGCAACAATATTAATGATAATAATAACAGATTTCATTTATATAATTCGTATATATTAGCAATGCCCACCGAGCGCATTTTGTTCTGCCGATTTTTGGTCCCTGCAGCGGGGGTGATTCGTGGTACGCACTAACGCAAAGGTTGTTGTCTTCAACTCGCTCTCACGCCGCTTTTTGTGAATGGATATGAATGAAACTTTTCAGCCAATCAGAAAAGAGGTCAATCTCGTAGTATGCAGTTTGACAACTTTGTACCCATCCAAGAAGTAGTCGAAAACGTTTGCGAAAGTGGTTGATGTGGTGCGCTTTGAAGATTTTTCGGAGCTGTGATTTGTCAAACTGACTGATACGTTGTGCACCATTTTTCTTTATTCCATTAAAATTTCATGCTTCTGTGTTTAATGGTTTCGCGTAATCTTTAAAAATGTGGGAGAAACTAAGGGAAAAAGCGGCATTGCCATTTGCGCGTGCTGGGTGAACGACCGGCGGCTGGGAAATTTCCACTGAGTGACGTCATCAGCCATTTGTCGCCTCGGGCGCTACAAACGAGGCCCCGCTTATGTGAACCGGAAAGGGGGGGGAAGCATACTTGAAAACTAAAGGGGGGCCTTGATAACTTGCGTTTTTGTTGCATTTTAGTCACAATACAATAGATGTAGTCATTTTTATTTGCTTGATTGCATGACAGAAGAATAGAAACAGAAAAGCAAACATCTTGAGAAGTGGTATGGCATTGTGTTTGCGTTATGAAAGCCTATTCCCCCCTCTTTGGAAAGCACACACTTGCACTCGTCCTGTGTGCTCTGTTTGGAAAAGTGAGGCATTAAGATTGTTATTAAAGAGTATGGTACTTCAGAGATGCCAACCAGTACGATTTTACGTATTTTAGTATGATTTTTTGCCGAAAATACGCGAATACGACTTTTCATGAAAAAATATGCATCCTGGAATGCAAAAAAATACGAGATTCAGCTTGGGCAAGTAAACCTAATTATCTCAAGTCCCATCTTTTGTCAAAATAGTTTCAGTATCGCAGAACTGGAATATTTGAAAACCAAGTCCGATGTGGTCAGTAAGTTCATTTTTGCCGGTTGCGATCGGGATATTATTCGTTCAGCTTTTCCCCATCCGGAGAGTACGTTTCACTTTCACGCGAATAGGCAGCTATGGCATCAGGCGGAAGCGTATGTGACACCAAGGCTAAATCGGGAAAATCAAGATCTACTTTCGCTTTCGTTACCACCGAGAAGTTTGCCAGCAGTTGTCTGATAACGCAACATTTGTGACATGCAGGTTGTGCAGTATAAACACAATGTCACCGTGCAAATAAAATGTAATAAATACTCGGACTCGTCGCTGTGCCGTCACTTGTGGGGGGGAAAAAAAAAAAGTAAATACAAGCGTCGACCGTCGTCCGATTTTTAGATTGTCTGGCTCACCATCGTGACCGGTCACTGAACCTGCGCACATTCGTATCATAAATAAATGCGGCATCGTGTGAGTAAAGACCGTCTTTGGTGGGAGTAACAGCCTTGCGAAGTATATGACTACAGAATAGGGGAGGAGATTATTGATTTTTGGGGGGTTTAAGATACTATGGGGGGGGGGGGGTGTTAAGGCAACACCAGAGGACAAAAACTTGGAAGCACATTTCAGAATTTTGATTAGAGCTTTCTGCAAAGCGCGATGAGTGTTCACTGTTTACCCAGTCTGTAACAAAGTAACAATGGACATCAGCATGAACTTGTGGCAGAAGTGTCACTTGTTCTCCAAGTGGTAGTACGTGTGTTTGTTTTACCATAGCACTTGGTCCTCCTTGTCTGACACATTTAGTTTTATTGTCACCCGTACACAAAAGCAGCAACAAAAGAAAAGAAAACCCAGCGAAAACAACAACAACAATGCAACTACCTTCGGTTGGGACCTCAGAAAGGAAGGGTTTGTTTTCTCAGAAGGAATGGGTTTTTTTCTTCATCTTGATCAGTCCTGCCTAAGACAGCCACCTGTCTTATACTGCCACTTTACTCCTTGACAATGGGTGGCCGTCTTACACAGGTTCGACTGTACTAGCACCGCATTTGAGTCAGGCCGGGATGTCTGAATTGTATGGATGTAAGCAAAGTATGATATGATGAGGAGACTGTACTGATGAGGAGACAGTACTGGATTGACCTGCTTTTATACCATCAGTATAATCAGATGGGTATCACAGGTTGATTTGATTTTGAAACTTCTACTTGTGGATGTTCGTTTTTTATGATTGTATTTTTTCTCTTCCTCAGCCCCACCCCAAGGTGGCTACCCGGGATATCCTCCTCATTGTAAGTTTCTTGTTCCTCTGTTCTGATGTATGTGTAGTATGTAATCATGGTCATTGTGTAGTGCAGTCATCGTGGAGAGACAGAGAGAGAGGGAGAGAGAAGGAGGGAGTGTGTGTGTGTGTATTTTAATTTTTCAGCTCAAGTAAATGAAAACATTTGTTGTCATGCTGAATGTACACTCTTCTTTCTCTCTTTTTCTTTCTTCCTCCCTCCTTCCCACGCTTTGGACTCTTTGAACCTGATTAAAATTAAAGCAACAGATGGACATGCAATAAGGTGAAGGAAAAGTAAAATTAGTAGGACTCACCTCTGATGCCATCCAACCACCATTTCCCTTCCAGCCATGCTGTGGTTACTGAAGATTCTTTTTTTTTTTTCCCCAGGAGTTCCATTCCCCCTGAGACAGCTCCTGGCATGACATAGGCCTACTGACCTGATCATTTAGTGCAGCTAGAGATGTCATCCCCTCTTGGCCATTCCTGTCTAAGTGTCACACAAGGTCTTCTGTATCCCTTTTAAACTAATGTTGATGGTTGTTTTTGTTTTTTTATCCCTCCCTCTAAATTGTGTAAAGAACATTTACTACACATATTATTATGTGTGGTAGACTTCACTGTTAATTTTGTTTTTTCTAGAAAGTCTTCTTTGTCCATCAACACTGCTGATTTTCTGTCCTAAATTGATAAATCTGTGTTGATCTGCGTGTATATCAAGACCTCCTCTTTGGGGTACACACATATATAACTGCAAGCCCTCCCATGTGATTTTACTGTTTGTGTGAAGGTGACCAGAACAGAGACCTTGTTAATTATTCAGAGAAGTTTTTATCATGCAAATGAAGCTAGAGCCAAGTGCCTCTTGTGATTATCTCAGAACAGTTTTATGTCTTTCTCTTCTCTCTTTGCTTTTTTCCACATGTAGCGTATATTGACAAAGTGTCTACCATGTCACAGATCATATCTATGCCTGGAGCTCAACGTAGCTGATTAGGTTCAGTCTTGTTGTTGAACCAGTTGAACCTGAAATTGCTTCCTTTAATATTTTTGTTCTTGAAAATTGTTTAAAAGCCTAAATTCAATGAATTTTTCAATTTTGACACCTTGTTTTGAAAGAAGATAGTGTGCTTTTGGTGCGTTTTCTTTAAAAAAAAACAACCTAAAGCTTTTCAGTTTCAGCTTTTTCTAAATTTTCAACTTTGAATAAGATAATCTCAGTAAAAATGAAAATTCACCTAATATTCATTGGACCTTGTAGATTAAGACAAATAAAAATTCAACTTTAAAAAAATTGTGACATGATAAACATTTTGGCCACAAGTTATGAATATGAATTTTGAAATAATTGAGCTTCAATAAATGAATTGTTTTCTAGTGCTTTAGCTTTTTCTGTATCTTTTTCCTGTAATGTGATTCAAGGGTTGTATTTTTATATACTATGTATCTCTGTCCTGCTAATTTTCTCTTATACGCCTCACTCTTTTGTCCTGGTCACATCACAATTTTTGTATTTCCTCACTTGTCTGTCTGACTTTTTTGTGCGAGTCTATGTGGGGATGGGGGACTGTCAAGTTGTAGCCTGATCTGTCAGAGGGATAGTTGTTCGCAGTATTTCAAGGGTGTGCTGTGTCTTTTCACACTCATTTGTTGTTGAAAATTAATGTGTACTGATGCTGAATACCGGCGCTATGTGGTTAGCTCTTCTAGTCTAACCAGGGAGGGTGGAACTTTTGTCGCTTGACTCTAATTTAGTGTTATGTTTGTAATTTTTGGGAATTATGCAAGGAGTTCATACTTTATTTTAAATAGTTTTTTGTCTTTTTATATTTGGAGATATCTGTGATATGTGTGAGAGTGCCTGTGATGTACAATTGTGTACAGGATTATCAGTTCGTAGGGGGATGGGCGTAGATTGTTAGATCCAGTCTATCTGTTGTTGTACATGATGGGACAGAATGTAGCCCTTACAAAGTCTTTAAGCCTCTTTTTGCACCTTGAAAATTTTGATTTTTTAAAATAAAAGTGTTAAAGACAGTATTTGATAAGCAAAATTACTTTACAGTTTTTTAAAGTGTTTAAAGAATCTGGGGGTCTGCCTTTCATATGTATATTGTATATTGATGGTGATAACTTTTCTTTAAAATAAACCCAACTTTTTTTCATTTACATACTTATTTATATAATAAATATAGATAGTATATGAAGACTACAGGGGGAAAACGACTGTAGTCACAAACTGGAAATTGCGAGGGTACAAATTTTGAACATTTATTGACTCATAACTGTATTTCTGTCCAACTGATGGTTGATTATTGTTGTTAGAGTTACCATTCAATACTTGACAATAAACCGCCACCTGTCAAACAAATATGAAGGTATGAGTCCTCAAGCTTTTAAAATTGGCACCCTCACAATTTCCAGTTTGTGACTACTGTCGTTTTCCCCCTGTGCTCTTCATATATATTTATACTCATCTGTTCTGAGGATGATGTATTTTGTTGCTAGCTCTATTCTTTATGATTAACTATCTCAACTAATTCCTTGATGATTGATGACAATTTTGTTGTTGCTGTTGCAACGGTGTGGGAATTCTCTGCGACTTATTTCTGTCTTTCCTAAATTTAGTTGAACTGTTGTTTTTTTATTGTTGCACAGCTTTACAATATCAACAATACCAACAATAAAAATGATTATATCTTCTTAATGACTTGCGTTTGTTTTGGTTATGGGATATTGTTGAAATTGTTGATCTCTACATTCTTTTTAGTGGGTGGTTGGCGGGTGCTCTGGTGCGGTTTGCTTCTTCTTTCCTATGAAACATCTCTATCACTATCGTCCTTATCTCTCCTTCTTCTTTTTTATGTTTGTTACTTTCTTGTAACACCTCTAATCTTCTGGCGCTCAAATGACCTTATATGCAGTTGCGAACGCCATAAAACCTCTACTAAAACTAATTAAATTGTCTTTTTATGGTTTATTATTTCTACTGAAAATTGTCGTCTGTGCTAACACTTTCTCACCTGTCCCCACATGACAATGACAGGCATTTTGTTGGGGAGATTTGAGGAATCTATCTCCTCCAGTTATACATTCTAGTCCGCAGGAACAAAATATGATTTTCTTTTGGCACCACTGCTTAATTGACACTGGGGGCTCTCCTGGTCGAGAGGTTATGGTGTTTGCCTCTCATTCAATAGGTCCTGGGTTCGAATCCGGATAACGACAGAAATTTTTTTTCTCTAAAATGTTTTATTTTCATCTTCTTTCTTGTTCTTTAGCGGGAGGAGCTACCCTTGAGGATCATTTTCTGTTTGTTGCCCAAGATCAAATCTAAGTACACATATAAGTTAGGCATAGTAAAATCTCTTGATACGCAATTTTATTTTGGCATAGCTACAGCGGTTGCTAAGGAAACGGCCGCCATCTTGAAAATAAACAATGAATTTCAAATCCCTAAGGCTTTCTTATTTACTGACCAAATTTAACCAAATTTGGTGAGAGTATACCTGAACCAGACCCTATCAGAGTAACAGCAAGTTTTTTTCAATAAGTGCAAAAGAACCCCCCCAGCCCCCCAGAATTTTCCCAAAGTATAAAAAACTCTTTCTAAAAATTTAGGTGCGTAATCGCTTGCCAATGGAAAAGTGTTATTTTTTTCGCAAATATATCTCTGTTACATTGATGGCAGCATTGCCATCTATGTTTCCTGAAAGTTTCATGTCAAAAGGATGAAAACTAAGGAAGGAGTAGGGGAAAAACTGCAAAAACAATTACATTTTGCGAAAAAAAATTTGTGAAAATTCACTATATTAACCCATCCTCATGTTTTCAAAGGCAATTTACGAGGAGATTAAAGGCTTTCTCAATTGTATCATGCTATTTTTAGACCCAAAAACTGGTTGATCTTAAAAAATCAGCCAACATAAAATGTGCATAGCCTGACCCAAAATCTGCCAAATCAAGGGTCGCTCCTCCTCTTAACTAATCATGTTTTGTCGTCTGCTTTTGTCTCTACCTCCACCTTCTGCCCCCTCCACTGGGCTCCTGACTTGTTCTGCAGCCTTTGTACTGCTACTCCTTGGCTCTTTCTCACTCTTGTCTTTCATCCACACCCCTGATCTTAGTAGTAAAGAGATCGAACACAGAGCTTTCTCGGATACGAGTGAAAAATCTCTGAGGTTCCGTGTGCAGGTAGCGCACGTTAAAGATCCCTTGGTGGTCCTAAAATGGAAAGTGTAGGCTTCGGCTCACACCTAGGCAAAATTCAAAATTTCCTGCCAACTGAAAAATGTTCAATGTGTCCCACATGCTCTTTTGACCTTATTAAGTTGTGAGCGCCATAAAACTTACCAGTACCAAAAAAAAAAAAATATTTACACTTACTTGGTATCAACAAAGTTATGAAAATTGAAAGCATCAGTCTTTGGAATAAACGTGTCTACACATGTATTATTTTCCTTTGTACCTTCCCTATAAAACGCCTCCAGTATCTTTTTATTTTATATTATAGTAGTGAAGCTTGCACAGGGTAGATTGTTCCTTGTCTGGATACCAATGTAGTGGCCTGTCTTTGTGAAGGCCAACGTTACACTTTATAATTTATAGCAAAATATTAATAGCATAATCACTCTTAAGATCGGGGATGGGGTGGCAGCATCAGACAACATCTGAAATGGTCTACAGCTCAAGAGAAGGTAGCAACAGTGTCTTAAAGTTTCTTTTGTGTACTCTCTCAGAGATAGTACAGTAACGGCCACATTTCGCAGGAGTACACAAACAAAGCAACACAAATCTCCCTACTACATGTAGTACATGGAACAATTAAACAGAAGTAAAAGGAGCAGACATCACTAAAACATCGCCATGTGAAAGTAATGATGGCCTATTTAGTGTTAGGAATAAAGGTGCCATTTGCCTGGATAAACGCAGAAATCAAGACTTCTGAAATTGTCCTTATTTTTGCACTTCATTTAAAAATAGTCCTAATACAGGATGTGTTGGACGAATTATCCTTAATTTTTTTTTAGTCTATGTGTACATGTTTGTACAGGGTCTGAAAAGTTCCAGATTTTTTCATATTCAATATAAATGACAAATTAATTAACTGACAGAAAATTTACATTGTAAGAAGATTTAACAACATACACACACAATCCATCTGTGGTGAAGCAGTTACACACTTTACAATCGCACACTGGAGACCCGAGTTCAGTTCCTGAATTATGAGAATTTTTAAGAAGCATCTCAGTCTTTCTGCTGGAATGTTGTATCCCTTTCAGCCCAGGTTGGCCCTGACAGTCAGGCAGGGTGGAAGCCCGCCTCTTTAAAGGTCTAAATTGTGAAGGTAGGGGTTAAAAAATCTACAATTACATATATTACTACACAACTCAACTCACAGACCCATACACATTCTCACATACAAAAAGTACTGACAGAGGATAGCGTTGAAAAAATTTGTATTAGAAAGATTACAGACTAGCACAAAGAAAGGAAAGGTGGTCATTCTATGAATAAAACCCTTCAACCACCCCTCAATGAGATTAAGCCAAAAAGTGAAAACAGTAGTCTTTGATTTCTCTTTCCCGTCTGCAAATACACGGAGAAAACAATGGCTTAAGTGGGCATGGTCACTGCATTTGACCGCTGGCTACATCTAATGAAAAAGTGCATTGAAATCAACAGCTGTTAGGTTGAACAGAACACATGTTTGTTTGAATTCAAAATTTCATGTCTGTAAAATAAAAACTATTGATTTTACAAAACAGGTAAACTTTCTTGTGGGACAGATCTTGTACTCTTCCTTTTTATCATGAGACACAACAATGTCTGCGATGTAATGATTATAAAATGGCTTGCCCCTTTTGCATTTAGCCACAAGACAGTTATCTTTTCCATGGAAGGAAGCCTTGATTCCCTTGTAAGAAAAATATGTCATTGAGTGTCTCTGTCTTTATTCTGGGCTGACTCCTGCGCAACATGAATTGACCATGACTGACAGACTAGGTCAAAGGAGCCTACCCCCTAAATTGTATTGACAGGGGTGTAAAAATATTTATAATAAATTTTGACAGCAATATACATTGTTCAAGTTAGAATTTTACAGCACTTGAAACACAATTAAGTCGTATTTTATATAGAAGTGCTGAAGATCAAAGGTGTTACAAGAGAATAACACAAAAAAAGAAGGAAAATTAAAGACGATATATGTTTGATAGGAAAGACGGAGCAAACCACACCAGAGCACCTGCCAAAAATCCATCCAGATATACATGTACTTATCAAAACCCCTTAACTGGTGCTCATAGTAATGAATAATTTTTAGGGAGTGCTTATTTAGGCCACATATGGCCTAAATAAGGTAAGGGAGGGGGGTTTAGCTTATTTAGGCCACAGTGGACTGTGGCCTAAATAAGGTAAGGGAGGGGGGGGGGGGTTTAGCTTATTTAGGCCACACATGCTCAAACTACCCTTTTCAGGCAACTGAGTTCGTTCCACTTTCATAATGGTGCACCTTTCTCATTTAGTACGGTTTTGTCTCAGTGTACAACTTATAAATCATAACCATAATGAATATTGTAAAGAACAAAGCACAATACGCAAAATTTTGCTCAATCCCAATGGTTTCAATGAGGGCCAGATTTTTCCTTCATGGAGGGGCAAAAGCTAGGCTACCATTTTGGCACACTTTGGTCAAGTGAAAAGGTCAAATCCTCCGAATGGACTTCCGGGTTAAATTTGGGGTATAAAAAGAGTGTACACTATGTGGCTGAGTCAAAGTTACACTATCTTTGCCTGAGTGACACTCTCTCGTACTGTCTCGTAGTAGTACATGTAGGGTAGTAGGCCTAGTAGTAGTAGTAGCAAAGATCGTGTAGAGAATATTTGGTAGTAGATTCTATCTAGTAGGCAGTTTAGTGAACGTGCTCAGGGCGAATCGGCCTCGATAAGCCCCGTAGACTTTTGTGATCGGCCACGAAGCCTCGTGTTTTGATGGGTCTAGATCTAAACAACTCAGTGTTATTCGCACTGCCACATCCGACAGGCCTAGATCTACATCTTTTTAAAAGGAAAAGAAAGATCATCAAAATGGTTGAATTCGCGTGAAAATCGATTCGGTAGAACTAGAACTATTAAAATTTGCTTCTGAAAACAAGGCAATTTTTATACGAAGGCCATTTTTATAACTCGATGAAATAAAAACTACTGGTTGTGTACTGTGTTATTCTGTATAAAAATAAATTATGAAACTTCAGGACGTATTATTATTTTCCAGCATCTTTTGACGCCTGAGCTGTAGAGGTTGAAGTTTTCACAACACTAATAGATCTAGTAAGAGGGTTAGGTAATAGGGCTTTCCGTAAAAAATGCATAGATCTACAAAAGCCGAACCACCGAATCGACCGGGCACCTCGCTCTCCCCTGCACACTGTGATAACGTGTTGCTGCGGTATCGCATTATTCAACTATTAATACGTGCGGCTATGGCAATTGGGATGTACTGACTGAAAAAAATTCAGTTTTGTTTTTATTTTACCATATATTTGACTTTAATAGTGCAGGCGATAGCAAGATCTAGATTCCCTGTCTAGAATCAGTAGTAGCAGGCCTATGCTAGAAGCAACCAGAGAGCCTACAACTGCTAGATCTAGATCTAACTTATTATTGCTATGCCTTTGGGCTTTGGAATTGAGATAAAACGA